CACATGCTGGTCTACAGATTAGAAATGTTTAAAGCGTTCCCTTAGTCACAGGCCCTTAGAGAAGCAAAGGCATGTGGAACCACCTAATAAGAGTAGATGGTGAACAGAAGTGTCTTTGTTAAAGCACTGGACCCTATTTTTCAGGTGATAACACTGTGCACTGCACCCCGGGCTGGTCCCTAGCATACAGAACGTCCATCGTAAATGCACACTGACTCCCAGCGAGTTCATGGGGTTTTTTGTTTGTTTGTTTGTTTGAAAAGATTTATTTGAAATTCAGAGTTAGTAGAAGAGAGCGATCTTCCATATACTGGTTTACTCCTTAGATGGCCACAGCAACCAGCCCTGGGCAAGGCAGGAGTCAGGAGTTTCATCCAGGCCTTCCACGTGGACGGCAGAGACCCATCCTCTGCTGCTTAGCAGGAAGGTGGGTCAGAAGAGAAGCAGCCAGGACACAAACTAGTGCCCTTGTGGGATGCTGGCATAGCTGATCGTGGCTTAACACGACGTGCTGCAACGCTGGCCCTAAGTGAGTTGTTTCTTTTTTTTTAATAATTCATTTATATCAGTAAGATGCTAACATTAAAATAAAGTGTTCAAATTCTGAGTTCTTAGTCCTAGTGATTCTTGTATTTTTTAACCCAGGACTCAAGCCAGTTCCAGCACTGCAGACAAATGCTTAGCCAGCTGTGCCAAAGTGACAGCCCCACTCCTCCAATTTAATAATGAGTTTTTCCCATTATCTTTAAAAATCACACGAATTAACACAATGCTTTTGATAGATTTGCATTCACTAGCAGAATGACTTGAAATACTTGAGCCACAGCATCTTTAAAAAAAAAAAACTAAATAAAAAGGCATAACTAGCTGTGGAGGAGCAACAGATGCCCAAGAGCTTTTAAAGATGCGCTATCCTTGTCATTTAGGAATCGGTGATCTGGTTGATGTCTAGAACGGTTGTCCGGAGCCTGCAGAGCTGCGGTCTGTCTGCCACGGCTTGTAAAACTCGTTGTTTAGACGAGCATTGATTGATTCTGAGACTAAAAAGTAAACTGGAAGTATATTGTTGTGGAAAATGAAAAAGAGGAAAGAGAAAAGGAAAGTACTATATTCTTGGAATTAAATCTGAAATTTATTATAAGCTTTTAAAAACTTTGTTTTGTTTTGGTACTCTAGATAATCAGCTACAGCCGGTCAGAGAAACGTGATTTTGGCCTTCTTGAGTCTGGCTTGTTTCCCTAAATCCAAAGGTCTCCAGTTGCATTTTGTTGCAAAGCATAGGACTTCATTCTTTCTGTGGCTGGACACATATCTGCACACCACGTTTTCTGTATTGTTATCAGCCTGGACCTCTGAGCTGCTACACTGTTGTGAATTGAGGTGCTGTAAATGTGGTACAGATATTCCGTTCATGTGCCGACTTGATCTCCTTTGGATATGTTCCCAAGAGTAGAATGGCTTCATCTTATGGCTGGTCTATTTTCAGATTTCTGAGAAATCTCCAGATATTCCTCCACCATGATTGGACCTAGTTTTCAGTATATATTTTTTAAATGATGAAATGAAAGACTTTTTTCTATACATATGTGTGTGTTAATCAAATGAAGACCATCTGAGGGATACAATCTGCCTTCACAGACAATGCTATTTCTTTTTAACAGGAAAAAAATCTCATCTAACCATTTCCCCTTAGAAATTGATCTATAGTCATGTGATATTCTGTGGTGGTATTTATTATGTGAAAAAATAAGAATACAGACCAAACACATATTTTGCTAAAAAAATAATAAGGTACCCTTAGAGAAAAGCTTTAGGTGTAACCCGTCCTGACATTTTTCTCTCAGTTTCACGCAACGCTTGTGGATTTGGAATACTGTAGATAGGAGTTTCCTGTGTGAAGGATCTGTTACAAAACCGTAAGATGTGACACATGACCAGATCTTCTCTATATCTCCTTGTTAAGAATTATAAGATGCAGATATCAGTGCTGAGTAGCTTATTAGCATTTGTTCGTTTATGATGCATTACTTTTACATCTTTGCATAATTGAAATAGTGCCCTGCTGTAACTATGCTCTGTTTTTTCTTTACTGAAGTACAGCAGCGTCACAGTGAAGAATCTTTTGGCCAGTGGGTTTCTAGGCGTGTGTTGTCCCTGCTGAGTTTGTCTGTAGGTCCCTTGAGCTGTACTTGCTCATGTTCTGGCTCCCTGAAGCATTTCTTGGCTTATTGCTTGTCTCTAAGCTGTAAAGTTTTTCTCACGCTCATTAAATATCTGTGTTTGGGGTTGTGGGGACATCAACTTGATTTACTGTCCATTCTTTATCTTTTGGGTGTGGAGACACATAAACACTGGGAAGCAGATTTACAGCACAAGTAACTTAATCACGTCATTTGAAGTTAAATGTCACTTCTGACAAGACATTTGACAGTGAGCCAAATGACAGTGATATAGCACATAGGGTAGGGAGCAAAGGGGAACCTGCTGGAAAGCAGCTTGTGACAACAGTGGGATTAAATCTAAAAGAGATGTGGGGCTCAGCAAGACAGCTGCCCTATGGAAGGGATGGCTATGCAGGAGGAGGAGGCCTCTGTACAGGTTGGACTGAAGTGATGGCACTGGTGGGGTGTGCAGGGTTTCTGTGAAATGGGTAGCAGATTATGGGAGACCAGCTTTTCATGCTAGGAGAAGGGAGCTACAAAGGTAGAAAAGGAAGTGAGAATGAGCTGGTGGCACTGGATCAGGATTGGAAGCATCAGGATGCACTCCTGATGTTCCATAAGGATTTTTTAAATGCAGTATATTTGACTGTAGTTGTATTTCCATTTGCTGATACTCAGACGTCAGAGTGTGAGTGCACATGTACGCTCACAGGTATCTCCTGGGACTCTGACTACAGGAGAAGGCCGGGAACAGGGATGCCCTGTGCTAGCACGTCCAGCAGTCACAGTTTGGTGCCTGGAGTGGGCAGGTGCAAGATGAGCCTGTAATGGCTTTTGCCACAGACAGAGAACCAGCGGAATGATAGGGCCATGGAAAGAAGAGACTGGGAGTCCCAAATCTGAGGTGATTGGAACATCAGAATAAATAACAATTGTAACAGATGATTAGCCCATTGAATAAAAGGGAACTATGAGTCTTTGTTAATATAGACAGGTAGAGAAAATCCTCTCTGACAGTGTGTTAATATTAAATGTTGATGCAGGTGGTTTAAACTTATGACAGTTTAAATTAAGATGTTTTAACTTTATGATGAGGTCAAAGATGATACACATTCCGCAGGAAGTAAAAACTGCCTTTGGGGTTTTGAATTCTTACTCTTTTCCTGGGCAGCTTGTTCTCTTGCCCGATGTGCCTCTAACAAGCTCTGAAACTGGTCAAGGTGTGTGCATGTAATGTGCAGATCATCAGGATAACGCGGATTTGGGGGACTTAAGGAAGTAAACTGTACTGAATGATCTGACTTATGGAGTGCCCTCAAATAGCAGCGGTTACTTTTAGGATTCCTTTCAAAGTGCAGGCGGCAGGCTCAGAGATGCCGCACAAGGGCTGAGGGGATTTGGGCGTGATAAGCTGGGGGCTGCTGTGCAGAGGTTTGGGCGACCCAGGATGAGCTTAAGTTGCTTTAGCAGGGCTTTCAGTTGACAAGAAGCGTGTCAAGTGTTGTGTAATAGTGTCCTCCAGAGACGCTGGGGAAGAAGGCGCGCTGGCCTCTGAACCGGGCCGGTCAGTGTGGGCAGGAGAGCTACAGACAGACTGCTTCTGCCTGTGAACACGTGCGCCTTTCTTTATCTCAGAAGAGGGTCTTGTTGGATGCATAATTAAAGTGAATCAAGAAAATATGCCTCCTCCCAGTTGACGTGGGTCAGATTAATGGCATTCTGTTGTTGAGCTAGGACTTCTAGAATTCTGTCACCGAAAGTTTTCCTGGTGCTCATTCTGCTCTAATTCTCTGACTCAGTCTTACGACGTGTGTGCTCGGAGCTGGTACAGTCCCACCACCCTGCTTCATGGTGGTTACAAACCAGGGATGACTGTGTGTGCCCTAGGAATGGAGTCTGTAGCTGACTGCTCAAACTGCCATGGGGAGAGTTAGAGCGACTCTTTGCAAAGAAGCAGCTTTCAACCATTTTTAAAAATTGGATTGCTGGGGCTGCAGATGTGTTTGGTGCGTTAGGAAACAGGCTGCCTCCACCTTTCCCTGGAGTTACCAAGCCTGCAGGTTGAACAGCAGCGTGCAGCCTGAAGGAGAGGTGCCTATTGTTCAGGGCTCCTGTGAAATGAAACTTGGGCTGGTCTGCTTGTCCTGAAATAGAGGCTCTGCCTTTACTAAAAGGGCAGAGAATTTTGCCTTTTAAAAAATCATGATGAAGTTAACTGTCGGCCCACTAGTGGCAACAAAGGAAAACTGCTGTGGTCTGAATTGCTGGAGAGGGCTGCAGTTTCATAGTGTGTCTCCCTGTTGCAGAGCGCGTGGGCTGCACCCGGAGAGCCCCATGCAGGGAGAAGCACCCTGCATGGGAACACTGGAGGTGATGCCTGTGTCTTCTTCCAGATGTGCTGCAGGCATGTTTATTCAGCGCAGTGCTTCTGCTTGAGTCAGATGCCCTGGACAGCGTCTGTTTAGCTGGGGAACTTAATGAGGAATGGTGGTGCTTGGCTGACGGAAAGAAAGTATTTCCACAGCCTGGGGCTGTGTTTATAGAGCTCCCGAGAGGGACCACAGGCAGCAATTTGTCTCCTTAGGTATCAGCCGAGACTTCTCTTTTAACAACTAGAGGATTTATTTTTAACTGCTTGACTCAGTGCTTGTCAGATGATTCGGACCATCAAACTGCAGATGGAAGAACCCGCCGCTCGAGCGTGCGGGGGAAGCCACAGCAGCAAGGGGAAGAGGGGGCTGGCTGGGAAAAGGGGAGGGATTTGAGAATCGTGCCTCCGAGGCCCTGCCTCCCTGTGTGGGAAGAGTCCAGGGCTTCCAGCAGCAGGAGTGTGTCTGCAGGTCAAGCTGGGAGGAAGGGTGATGGCGGCCTCCAGCTGCTGGCAGAGGTGATTGCCAGGTGGCAGGGGTGCTGCGAGGAGCTGCCCAGGAGCCACAGAGCAGGCTGCCTTGAGCTCTGCCTGTGCTCGGCCAGCGCTTTTCCTGCTTGATGCCGCCTGTGTCCGGAAGTCTTTCACCATGATCGATAGCTCCAAGAAGCAGCAGCAGGGCTTCCCAGAGATCCTAACCGCTGGGGACTTCGAGCCATTAAAAGAAAAGGAATGCCTTGAGGGGAGCAACCAGAAAAGTCTCAAGGAAGGTCAGTGTGTCTGTGGACTAGAGGCCAACCGCCAACTTCCTTTGCCCGTCAGCCAGGCTGAGCGCTGTCTGTCGGCTTACCATTCTGTCTGCATTCCCCCGTCCACTCCTCAGCTGCCCCTTCTTTGCCTGAGTGCTTGTGTGGTTCTCTGTAGCTGTTACTAAAGATTCAGTACGTGACACAACTTGGGGGGGGGGGATGTTGCATAATGTACGGTAAAGGGACTTACGCCTTTCCACATTTTGGTAAAATCTATCTAAATTTATTTTATATGTTTTCTCAAACTTTTAAAATTTGCATCCCCCACGCCCTTTGGAGAGGCCATTTCCTTTTCAGTATTAGAACACTGTTTCTTTTGCATGTGCAAGCACATAGTTCCAGGAGAATTGATATTTTTTCAAATCATCCTGTTTAACCAGGAAGATAGCAAGCCCTTAACTGAAACCTAAAGTGATGGGCTAGTTGGTTAGAATCTGTATTGTATCTTTTTCCATTTTAAAATCACACTTTTTTTTGAGAAGTAAAGCATAAGGATACTATCAGTGCTGTTAGTGCCAGCGGCACAGGCACCTGGCTGACCTCCGCACAGTGCTGCCAGCGGCGTGGATGGCGCTGCCTCGTGCCCCGCACACTCACGCGTGGCGCTTGTCTTCCTGTAGTAGCTGCAGCTCACGGGCCGCGCTTTGAGATAGTCAGAGTCTACAGAGAACAAGGTTTTCCTAAATTTGAGTCGTGAGGGTCATCTCTTCCAAGGCCTGTTGAATGTGAAAAATGGTCTTCTAGATCTCTTTCAAAGGCAAAAAAAGCAAAAAGACGCAGTACCACGTTTTCCTTCCCCTGCTCTGAGCTCCTGCGTTGAGCCGCTCACTCCCCTGCACAGGTTCTTGATCATCCGGAAATCTGTGTAGAACTGATTCCCTAAGCAGCACCTTCGGCTTCTTCCAAGAGTGTTTTTTTTCTCTCAGATGTTTAGAATATGATAATGTGGTAATAGATTGTTACAAATTTAAAAGATTAGAAGAAACAATAGTGGGGTTTGCTGGAGTTGAGCTACTTTTGGGTATGAATAGAAAAAAAAACAAAACAAATGACACTCAGTGGGGTACTAGTAACTGTTGCTAGGAGCCGGACAATAGGATTGCCTCTGCCTGTACTCCGCCTGCCTTCCTGTGGGTTCCTCCGACCAGCTGGCCCCGCTGGTCTTAGAGCACCGTTCTGGAGACTCTAGTTGAAGGAAAAGTCTGACGTTTATCCATTTATCATATGTCGAATGCTCACTCCTGTTAATATCATACATTTAAAGCAGTTTTTGGTACTACTTGAAAACCCGATGAAGCAGAGGAAAATGGACCAAGAGAGATGAAAAGATCACACAGCATCAGAATAAGGAACGTGGAAAGCAAGGTTTGAATATATAAAGACAGGAATTAAGCATATGAACAGGGCCAGCAAAGCAAAAGTGAGAGCGTAGGACCTTTCACTGGGGAGTTGTGGCTGTGCTGTGGATGTGCGCGGGTGTCACAGGAGCAGAGGTGTGTGCGCTGTGACTGCAGCTGGGCGGGGCTCGGGCCAGGTGGGCCAGGCCCAGCACTCCCTCTGCTCCTCTGCACAATGGCAGGAAGCGGCACCTTTCCAGAGTGTCATTCCTTTGTTACCGTTTCCTTCTGTGTAGAACTCGAGATCCTGTGTTTATTTACAAAATAGAATAGTGACCTATGTGCTTTGTTGTGTAAATTCATAGTTTTAAAGGAGTCAGGGAGAGGATTTTCAGGTTTCAAGCACTCCCAACAGAAATGATGGAACAGTAAAATTCTCATCGTCTCAGTTGCCATGGACTTCATTTTGCTTTATATCTTACCATTACTTTTAAAGCAGCTTCATATGTAAATAGTAATGCCTAATATTTCTGCTTCATGTGTTAGGACAACTTACTAAAAATATTCTATTTTGGTTTTTACTCATTCTTGGCAAAGTTGAATCTGGTTTGAAAATGAAGCCTCTAGAGTTTTGTTTTGTAATGTCAAAATGCTGCATTTCTAGGTAGTGAAGGAAGGATGAACTCTGCTCGTCTGGTCCCAGTCAGTCACAGACACAGGTATGCTCTGCTCCTGACGGATGTCTGCTCTAAGGCATTGGGAATCTCCCTTGCTGACTTTCCTGTGTTGGGGATTTTAGAATTCCTGTGATGTTGGTGTGGACCATTGGCTGAAAACATTATGGAGAAAGAACAGACTTTGTAAGCAAGTAACTGTAGGGTTAAGGAATTTGTGTCATATAAAAGCAAAAAAAAAAAAAAAAATCAAGTAGTGCCTTCTAAAACTTGGAAAGTTCTAAATGCGGATCTCCTCTGAATAGCTGTTGTCACATTCCAGGGAACTGTCTGGGTCGTAAAGTAGATCACCTCCCGATTTTGTTAGTGTTTAGATAAACTTTTTGGTAAATGTCAACCAGTGTGCTGTGTGAGATAATTTAGTTATTTCTTGATCTCAGAATAGCAACTATATGATGGAATCCTCCTGAGAAACTCAAAACAGAATTCTCCTTCAAGTTAGTTTCTTTTATCAAAGCAACCATTGGGAAGCTCAACTTCTAACTTGTCTATGCAAAGCTCCATTTTCTCTTAGCTCAGCACACAGGAGATTTAATTTAATATTTGCAAGTATAGCTAAAAAGGATATTATAGACCACTCTGACTTGGCAGCTGAAGAATTGGTAATTGCAAATTTTCAGGAAAAAGTCAAATGAATTAGGATATTTAATTCAGGTAAATGTTTAATAGGAGTCATTATAGAGATGAATGAATCATAAAACCAGTGCTACTAGCTGACTGCATCTCATATTTATCAAGGGCAAAATGGCAAGCAGATGGAGTTAGAGGATTAAATGATGTTCACTGTTATTTATTTAAAGATTTATTTATTTATCTGAAACACAGAATTATATATAGAGAGAAGCAGATCTTCTGTGCAGTGGTTTATTACCCAGATGGCCACTACGGCTGGGGCTGGGTCAGACTGAGGCCAGAAGCTTCTTCCTGGTCTCCGTCGTGGGTGCAAGGGTCCGAGTGCTTGGGCCATCTTCCACTGCTTTCCCAGGCCATTACCAGAGCACTGAATTAGAGGAGCAACTGGGACACAAATGGGCGCACCGTGTGGGATGCCAGCATTGCAGCTGGCAGCTTTTACCCATATGCCAAAGCACTGTTCCCAGTGTTCTTTTTAAAAATCTCTAATACTGAAAATCAAATACCACAGAAAGAAAAATAAATTTGTGTTAGTTATTTTCAATAAAATTGCTGTTACTGAATCCCCAACACATAATGTTTAAAGCATGCAAAGGGAATGTCTTTTTAAAAACACCCCACCCCAGTGTGAGCTGCAAAGTGTCTCAGGAAGTGACCCAGGGGCCTGGCGTCCTAGTGCTGTGTGCGGCAGTCGTGGAGATGTGGTAGGACCACACTCCCAGTTCAGCCAGCGCAGAGTAATAACAGCTAACATGAAGTATGTGAGAGTTAAGGTAGGTTGCCAGGGAAACAGTGTGTTAGAACCTATCTGTAGTAGATTTGCTTAGAAAGAAAACATTTGAGATATCCTGAATAATCTAAGAAACTAAATAAAATCCCTGTGCCACAGTGCCAACACATATTTAAATGATGGGAGTTATCTCACGCCTGCACTGTCCATCAGCCGCATAAGGCTATTTATGCTTAAAGTCATTCACATCAAATAAAATTCCTAAAAGATTTGCAACCTGGTCACATTAATCCCATTTCAGCTCTCTGGTCACCACATAGGCCTGGCAACCCTGCACTGTCACCCTGTGACGCTGCTCCGCGCGCTCCTCCCTTCACCCCAGCTGAGGCCTGGAGCCTCAGCAAACGTCTCAGTGCCGTTTCTGAAGGAACCACTCACATCTGTCAGCTGAGAGGAGTGCTCTCCCACCTGACAGCCCGGGGACATCATCCATGCGTTTTCATTGCTTCCCCTTAGGTATTGCCATCTGTACACCTGTTCTTCACTCCTGGGCTTGTCTGTCCTCACTGTGGGAGCACGGTTGTTCTTGAAGATACAATTGTCGCTTATCTTTTTCTGTCCCTCACTGCCAGTGTCCTGTGTCCACTAGGCACGTTAGCATGCAGTAAGTACTCAAGAGTGCTCCTCCTGCATTTTCCTAAAAGCTGTGGTCATTTGAAAAAGTTAGTGAGCAAGGGAGAGGCAGAGATTATCTGTCCGTTGATTCAATCCCCAGATGGCCGCAACAGCCAGCACTGGGCCAGGCACTTTGTCTCCCCCATAGGTACAGAAACCCAAGTACTTGGACCGTTTTCCACTGCTTTCCCAGGCGCATGAAAGGGGAGCTGGATGGGAAGTGGAGCAGTCAGACTGGTGTCACAGGTAGTTGCTTCAAATGTCATACAGCCAACCCTACCCCTCCTGCCTTCCTGAAGGCACTATTCAGATGTAATTTATAATTCAGCGATAAGTTAGCAGCTCAGCTGTACCCTAATGCTGGGGGTGCTATGGAGCTGCTGAATGTAGCACGCCGGCCTGATGTGCAGAATCACCTGGCTCCTGTGCGACAGCCACCCTTGTGATGCAGTGTCTGCTTCCTCTCAGCGGCTACCCCAGCGGCCCTTCCTTCTCTGGTTTGCAAGTGGTCTTTGTGTAGGTGGTGGAGTGCACTGATGGAGCTCCCGTTCTCCCGGTGATGCAAGCCGAAATCTGCTGAGCCGTGGTGAGGGAAACCATACCAAGCAGGCAGTTCAAATAGGGTTGCAAAGTGCGTGGATTTCACAATGTCTGGTTTTATATTTTTGAGGAATTTTCTTTCTTTCCTGACAACCTTCTCCTAATTGAAAATGTTGTGTAAATGAATTACCACAAAATTTGTGTTTTTAAAATGTTAATTTGAAAAGATACAGCCCTTAGAATAAATTCAAGTAGAGTATAGATGAAAAAGATAAGATTCCTCTTCCCAGAGAGAATATATGTTTAAATGGA